TTTCTCCAGTCTGACACCCGCTGTTTGTGTGGGGTGCAGCGTGCGATAAGCAGAGATGTATGCCCCCCCATTAGGGTAATTAATCGCTGTCAGAGGCACAGAGTGTGCTCCTGACGTGCTAGCCGTTGGGCTGGAGTACACTTCCTCAACCCTGCTCTCCCTCTGCTAATAGCCCCCTTCACCAGGACATCAAATGACGGCTAATTAGCTCTATTGTTCCACAGCAGGGAACGCTTGTCAGGTCCTCTGTGACACCATTAAGTGTCTATCTGCTTACTTATCTACATGTACAGGGAAAAGCTTGCTGGCAGCCTTCATAGACAAAGCTTTTTCACATCAGCACAAATTTACTAAAAAAAAATCACTTTCACTCATGCAACTTCAACCTCAAATAAAAGCACAAGGGAGACCACGGAAAAATGTCACTATTTTTACCTTACTGAAGTTTATAGCACATGCATGCGTTTTGGTATATAGACATTTTTCTTTGAGTATAATTAATATGGTCCGTACTTATAAGGACAATTGAAATGGTTCACCTATTCACCTAACAGCCAATTTTAGGCAGTAATCTAATAATCTTATCAAGTGAGAAGTGTCTTTTACCTTTAAAGTTAATGGAATCAATTCCCTCTCCTCATTTCTCTCTCACACTTATCTTTGTCTATCTATCTGTTTTTCTCTGAACAGAAATCCTCCACCCACCCTACACCAACCAGAGCTCTGGTCAAACGATTTTAACGATTTTATATGCAAGTAAGTAACACAGGTTAAATGTATTTGTATTTATATGTACGGCATTGGCAAATCCAAAGTTTGTTGGTTGTTAAAGTTTTGTTAGTTTTTTTTCTTTTAGACACTGATTTTGTGGGTTAGTTACTCTCATAAAGAGCCGTGTCTGAGTGTCTCATAATGCCTCGTCATACTTTAATTATCCTCCTGCTGTTTTACCAGAACTTTGCTTGTAACCGTAACTGAATTAATCTCAACAACCTTTAGCTTGTTTGTGTTTTTCCTGAATCTTGTCCTTATCAGTTGCCATTTGATTTGACTTCATCTTGGACATTTCAACACATATTCTCCCATTTTTTTGATTGTGTCCCCTTCAGGTGTCTGATAAAGGATTTTGAGCTCAGGCCCAATGTGTTTGACCTTCTTCAGCATGTCTTCATCAAACAGATTGTGGGGCGAGAGAAGACGCTGCAGAAGCAGCTGATGGAGCTAATCGACCTCAACCAACAAATGGGCGTTATCGAGAAAACAAGGTAGTTAGACACAAATATCAGCTCTAGTGCTTTCTGTGAGTCATACAATGTGTTTAACGTGACAAAAACAAAGCGTTTAAAATGCCACAAGTTTTAGTTTGGACTGTTTCTGACATTTACAATTTAAAAGGCACTTTTTTCAATAAAATTGTTCACGCTTAAGAATGAGATGAATCCTCCAGCCACACAAGTGACGTAGAACAAGAATCATTCTACATATTCTTGTGAAAAAGAAGTGCACTTAATTGTATTAAAGTGTTGTAAAATTATATATTTTTGAAACACTGTACTCAAAACATTAGATATATTAATGAAATTACTAAGTAAGTGTATTTAATGAGTGTACACTTTCTTAACACACTTAAGTATACTTTTAAAAAGTGCGTTTTGTAATAATGTCAAATTAAAAGTTTTACTTTCAAATTCATTTGAACTCCTTGTTTTAATAAACTTTTTAAAAAGATGTACACTTAGCTAACATTCTAAAGCACATGTAAAGTACTTGATTCTAATTTTTACTGTAGTGCGTTCAATAGTACATTTAAAGTGAATATATTTGAATTATACTAAGTCACAACTTCATTATTACAAATGTGTAATTAAAAATATTTAAATACGTGACATATGAGTTTCAATAGAAATGAATTTACAGTATTTTAGATGAACATAAATGCTTGTCAGTGCGTTCGGCAGTATATTTTAACCGCATTTCAAAGACAATAGAAGTAATTATAAAATCACATGTAAAGATTGAATTACCGTATATGGTATGTCCTGTTAAGTGTGTCAAAAACAACATGCAGCTCATTGCTTTTAATAAAAATTGAAACTGTAAGACATTTTTATTTGAATTTCAGTTAACATTAGTCATTAGTCTGAAAACATTGCATTCAGTTCATGATTAAGTATGTTCTTTTAAAGTATATCATTTCCGTAATGAATACTCTTTTTATAACTATGCTAAAGTGCACTTCTTTTTCACACGGAATGATTGGCCGATCTCTACCTGAGATTGTATCAAGAGAAATAGTCCATTGACACAAAGGGAGGAAACCTTAACGCTCGATGTGGTGGCTGCTGTTCTGCTTTACATTTAAAAGAACCGATGCATTATTATGTAGAAGTGCATCAAAATGCTCATTATGATGGCAGAAAATTTGAAAGTCCCATCTTGCATTAATAAGAGATTGTTTGTTTACTCTAGAACATGCTTGAGCCGTAGCTGGACCGACTTGTAAAATACTAATTTTCCATTTTTAGTGCCTACACTCTTAAAAATAAAGGTGCTTCAAAAGGTTCTTCAAGCGATGCCATAGAAGAACCATTTTTGGTTCCACAAAGAACCATTCAGTCAAAGGTTCTTTAAAGAACCTTTGACTGAATGGTTCTTTGTGGAACCAAAAATGGTTCTTCTATGGCATCGTGAAGCACCTTTATTTGTAAGAGTGTAGTGAGCACAGTTTATACTCTTGTTGATACCTTTATGATACCAAATATTATTTCTATTTTATTAAAACGTAATGTTGACAAATTATACCTTTGCATTTAAGCGTCTGACACCCGCTGTTTGTGTGGGGTGCAGCGTGTGATAAGCAGAGATGTTTGCACCCTATTAGGGTAATTAATTGCTATATATTAATATACTATTATTGACTTGACATACAGTGTTCATCTAAAGCATGTTTAAACAGACAACAATTTAAAAATAACTCTGAATGTAAGAATATGTCCTGTGTAATCAGCCTTGAAAGCTAGTGATATATCAGAATTATTTATAAATTAAAAACTTACATAAACACGTTCATAAAAAAATACAGGATCTCTGCTGACTGCAGTACTGGCCATTATGGTTGCACCAGAGGCCCCCTCATCACAACCCCTGCTTTGCCTCCAAGATATTAACTTCATTTTTATCATTTAAGCCATCTTGGAATAACTGAAAGGAGAGACAGTGATTCCAGGTATGATATATTTACGGTCAGTCACATGGGTTAGATCGAGTCTACTTCCTGTGGATGTAGCAGTAGCAGCTTTCTGTCTCTGAACATTATGTTGTGGCGACTTCCCTTGCAACTTTCCCAAAAGCTTCAATTGTTGACCCAATGGTGTGTTCTTGTGTTTCGCAAAATATCTTGTAAGGCAGCTAGTTACCAATATCATTGAGAATATGTGCTCATATCTTGTGCTTTTCTTAGCTCTGTAATTTCCGATCTTAAGAGTGCTTAGGATGTAGGGTTTATTCAGGAGTTGCTCTTTTAAATGTGTAAATAAATATATGGTTTGGACCAGTGTGCTGGGCTTTCTTACTTTACCTAACATTTGTTCAATAACATCACAGCCATAAGCTCTGTTCATGTTTGCAGTCAACTGTCTACATACATAGGCAGCTTCCTTTTGAGACAGCATGTGTTACTCACAAGAAGCATGTGAGGGCTTGCCATTAGCATGTTGCTAAGCTAACAACATTCATATTTAGTGTGAAAAGTCTTAGCAAGCATTAAAATACATAACACAAATATTGAGTAAATTAGTTCAGCTATGTTAT